TATTTTATTTATTTTTTGGTGGTACCGGGGATTGAACTCAGGACCCTATGCTTGCCAGGCAAGTGCTTATTCTACTGAACTAACTCCCCAGCCCTATAATTTTTATTATTGCTTCTGCTTGGAATCATGTCTGACCTTAATGACAACTTGGAAAGAACTAGGTCCTGTATTTTACTGTACCTATGAAAAGTATTTTTTTGAAGACTACTTGTGGGTTTTGTTATGAAATTACTTCAACATTGTTCACTTTTTTTGGGAACAAAAAAGAAATGTCATATCATTTTGAAGTAAGAGAAACAAAGTTGACATAAGCCATCAAGGCCTCTTCAGTCTATTTTTGTGAAGCATGAGATATAGTTGATGTTTATTTGAATGTTTCTGCTGAGTCAAAGGAATTTAGTATAACAGTAGGCACTTGTTTTGCAGGCATAAGTAGTTGTTCTCACCAAAATGAGATTGCTGTTTAACACAATAGGAAAATGCTTTTTTGTATATCTGACATATACCCATGTTTTAAGTCTGTGGAAATGAATGTCCACCCAGTGAACTGGGCTGGTCCTACTGTTAACTTTGTGGCATAGTGTTTGCTGTCTTTTGTCAATGGCTTCCTCCCTAGCTTAAGGCCTTCTTGTGGATTACATATTTTGTAAGTACAAAACAAGTGTTTATATACAGTTAAAACTTCAGTAGTTTATTGGTTTGTATTCTTTCTGCCAAAGCATTTTGTGGGCTGTTTTTAATGTCATCTCCTACTTCTTTTTTAGCTCTGCATATGATAACATCAACAAAGTTCGAGTAGCTATCAAGAAAATCAGTCCTTTCGAACACCAGACTTACTGCCAGAGAACCCTGAGGGAGATAAAAATCTTACTGCGCTTCAGACATGAGAATATCATTGGCATCAACGATATTATTCGTGCACCAACCATTGAGCAAATGAAAGATGTGTATCCTTTTCTAGCAACTAGCTGACCACTGGTTATTCACATTCTTTTTTTTTTTTTTTTTTTTTTTTTTTTGGCGGAACCGGGGATTGAACTCAGATCCTTGCATTTGCCAGTTTGTGTGTGTGTGTGTGTGTGTGTGTGTGTGTGTGATTTCCATTACTGGAGCATTTCTGTTTCTGAAAATACACATTGTTGTTGTTGAATAAGCTTGTTCATATGATATATCCTACCTGCCTCAAAATTGCTGCTCATGGCCTTAATGTGGCAAACGAAGCAAAGTAAGGTTTAAGCAGTGCTAAAATTTTTCATTTGTGCATGTTTGGCATTGACAAATAATTGAAACAATAAATCAAGTTCCCTCATGGTATACTCTTGTGATGGAATCATACAAATGTATCAGTAGTTATTAAAATAGACTGATAATGGGGCTGGTGAGATGGCTCAGTGGTCTAAAGCACCTACCTAGAACAAGCTTAGCA